TTGGACAGTTTACCAATGCTTATACACTGATAAACAACATTTATTCAACTTCCATCATTATACAAGATATCTGTCAGTTAACTAACTAATCCATTACAATTACACAACTAATACTTTATTTACTGTTAATGTCAATAATTTAATGAATTTAATTTAATTTTATAAATGTATTAACAGTATTAAACTTGAATTCAACAGTTTAATCTATTAAATAAACAGTAAACATCTGTGAAAAAAGTATAGAAGTATTTATAGATTTGATTTGATAGATTTTAATATTTTTATGTGACAAAAAGGAAATTGTCTTTAACATTGTATTAACATTATTTTACATTAAAAAGTACAGAATAAGTCTGTAAAGTTACCGTTTTCGAATAATTAATGATTATTTGTTTTTATTTACAGTAAACAGGAACTTCTCACCATCTCCAATGTTCCCGTCACAGACTGCCCCCCCTCTCCCCCCCGCACCGCACCCCCCACCATGAAGGTAACACACGTCTGTCCGTCTGTACTTATGAGGACCTTTAATCTGAAACAGGTTTATATATATTTGATAATATTCAAATATACAAATTCAGCATTTTGTTTGTTTGGCATCAAAGATTAAAACACAAATTATTACTGTCAACATTATATTAATAACTATGGAAGCTCATTACTGCCAATGTCATTCATTTTATTTGTTAAGTCTCATATTTGTAACGGCAAAGTTACAGGTAAAAAGCACAATTCATGTAATGTAATTCATTCACTCTGTCTGTCTGCAGTCGGCTCATTTCTTTGACATGATGGACAAGATGGAGGTAAGACTTGAATCTGTTTTACACTCTTCACAGTTTGTTGAAATGTGTTCTTCCTGCTGTGGAAGCTGGCAATATAACGAAACATCAGGAACTGAATTTATTCAACGTTCATTAATGAATTATTGATGAAGGTGAAACACTGACAGAAATATTCATGTATTCATTAAACAGTATTTCTCCTGAGTTTTATTCAGCTGAGTACGAAACACAACTGCTGCGATACACCGGTTTTAATTTCCTGTATGACTTATATATTATATATATAAATAAATATAAGTTAGTTATATTCTGAAACAACTGCTGTATTTAAATCACCATTAACAATAAATAAACAATATCACTGTAAAACAAAACAATGACTAAAACAACAATAACAATAAAAGTGCTCATACAACTATTTTAAAATGTTTTGAAAAGGAAGAAATATTAAAGTTGTTGTCATATATTTTTTAATTTTACTACGTTGTACAATCAAAAAGTTTAAATTCTGATTCCTTAGATTACATTTTAGCAACTTTATAATTTTAGTACCATAAAACTTAATAAAATAAAATAAAAGCAGGGTCCATAACAGACGAATTACCGGTAACACGGTAAACAAAAGAGACAGAAAAAAAACCTCTGAAGCATCATAATCATCATGTTAGTTGTCAAATTTGCTGAACAAAAACTCAAGAGAAGCAG